TTAACTGGAGATTTAGGATAACAAATAAACTCTAAACTGATCCAAACTTTTGTCATTTGAGAGATGTATAAATCTATGTTTCAAAACAGAAAACTATTCTTAAAAAGAGTTTGTATAGAGAAAGATATGATCTTTTTACTAACAACATGTCCTATAGAAAAACGGCTACACATATATAATGTTTAACTGGAGATTTGGGATAACAAATAAACTCTAAACTGAACCAAACTTATGTCATTTGAAAGATGTGTGAATCTAGTTTTCAAAACAGAAAACCATTTGTAAAAATAGTTTTCCTAGAGAAAGATATGCTTGTTTTACTAATAGATATCACGTCTGTTTTTCCTGCTCGTTTTGTGGAGCTGTGTTACGCCGTTTTGAGGTGCGTTCGCGGAGTTTTGAGACACTTGATGTTACACGTTTAGTCATGAATATGTTATGTTATATATTTAAGAATCTCAAGGGAATTATGATAAATTTTGATTTGATCATATTTGAATTAGATATAGTTCATATACATGTTGGATGTCGTTGATGAGCATAGCTCAGTACAATATGGGATAGTGCGTCGACATACCAAATATACATGGTTTATACATAAGCTGAATGTTGTTGATGAGCATATCTTAGTACTATATGGGATAGTGCGTCGACATACCTGAGATACAAAGATTTATATGAGGTGGATATCGTTGATGAGCTTAGTTCGGTACTACATGAGGTTGTGCGTCGATATTCTATATGCACATGCCATTGAGTCAGATTTTAGGAGGCTTGATCTAGCCGACCGTCCCGCACTAGGGTGCGATGAGGCTCGTGAGCCGTATTTCTAGGATGCCTATTTGGTAGTTCATCTCACACTCATGTTATGTACTGAGATCGCGATGAGACTAATAAGCCGTGTACACAGTTCAGGATACCTACAGGGTAGTCCGTTGCACTGAGATAATTACTTGATAGCCTAAGTATGGTAGATGCCGATTATGAATACGACCTATCATTGAACTATATGACTGAGATATGTTACTTTTGAAAGTATACAAAATTATGTGTTAGTATTTTATTCTATCTCTCTAGTGATAGTGGAAGATATTATAAATACGATGTGTTGATATCTTATTTTTTTACTGTCATTTTTACTTCTTAGTTGGGATCAATGATTAGAGATTTACAACTTGAGACTTATGGTATATACATGAGGGTTTCCTTGTTTGGATTATTTCGCTCGACGTACCAGTCTCGTGTTATGGATTTCTAATTATTGGTTTTATTAGATTGTCTTTTTTTAGTTCGGTATTAATGTTTAGATATCTACAATTTAAGACTTATGGTATATACATGTGGGTTTCCTTGTTTGTATTATTTCGCTCCACGTACTACGTCTCGTTTTAGGTTTCTAAATGTTAATCCCACTTAGATACGAAGAAAATAAATCTAGGTAGACTATGCTTAATAGATAGAGCCTCCACTCCATCTAGCAGCCCTTCCCCTGGGGGCGGATGGAGGTAATCTTGCTGTAGCGCTCTGACGCTCTTGTTGTTGTTTCATTTTCTTTTAAAAATACCCTTTCAGGTAGCTCGGAGTTCCGGAGAGCCGCAGGGTGACGGAGTTCTGGCATAGTCGCCGCCGCGTATTTTTACTTGTAGAGACTCCACTGTAGTTTTGAGTTTTATCCAGACATTAGAGTTTCATATTCATATTGTAAAGACAGTGTGCCTTAGTACGATTCTTAGTTGATTCATGTTGAGACATTTTCATTATTCAGATATCAGATGTATTATAGTTGAGACATGATTCTTTTTATTTATGAGATATCTCTTCTATATCATGTCTATTATAGGGGAACCCTAGGTTTATTAATCGGGCGCGGGCTGCCCAAAAAATTTGGGCGCCCACGCCCAAAAAATTTCCCGCATCCCATTTTTAGCGACGGAAAATCCGTCGCTAAAAATGTCTTTAGCGACGGAAATTTTCCGTCGCTAAATTTTTAGCGACTGGACGGAAAATTTCTGTTGCTAAAATCATAATTTCTGTCGGCAAATTTTGTTTGCCTACAGAAATATAGCGACAGAAATCTCCGTCACTATATGTCATGTTATAGCGACGGAAATTTCCGTCGCTATATTTTCGTAGGCAAAACTCTGTTTTCTAGTAGTGCTTGACAATCCATGCAATGTCTTTTATAGTATATTCATAATAACTTAGTATTCATGTATTAATAGTTATAAAACAAATAAGGCCACTAATTAGTACCACTTAGATAAGTATTCTTATCTTTATGTAAGTATAGTTCATTGAAAGGAACGAAGTCAAATTTATATTTTGCAACGCTGTCATCCTCTACTTGGAGAACTCTAACCATTGTTTGCCTGCAGAAACAGATGAGTATTTTGCTCTCCGTTGTTTGGTAATAGCCAATTGCGTTAAGTACTCTGAACTTGGATATCACATGTATCTTTCCCTCTTCAAGCAATGAACTGAACCTTGACATCTCAGTATGTCTGATTGTCCCTTGACAGTGAGTGCCTCATGCAGTTGAATATCAAATTATTAGTATGATCAAATATGTATTATTGTTCAATCAAAATGACGTACGAAGAGTAATCATAATGTTAAATTAAATATATTGTTGCTTACATTTTCATCCAATAGTGTTAGATGCAAGCCGAATATATCCTCATTCCTGATATTGACATTATCCCAAATTCTAGTCACCCTTACTTTAATGATTGCATCGTTGTCTTGGGTAGTTAAATTACTGATGGTTGTATAGCTAGCAAGCGTCATCTGTGCGTCTTTTAATCTGCACGTAAATACTGATTTTATCAGTTATGCAACATTAATTATATCATTTTTAATATATGAGATAGTGCAAGAATATAACAATTCAGTTTCAGGTAACATTTATTAGTGAACATAATACTGTATGCTTAAAAGGATAATGTGAACGGTGAAATAATCTGTACTTGTATGCTATCTATAAAAATTTCTTTGTAGACATTATTCTATTTTCAAGCAATGTAAGAAGACTATACATGAGGCACTGTTGTGATCTATGTTTATATTGTCAATTAATTTACTCAATGTCAAATTTCTATTGCTAATGATTCTCCTTGTTTTGCAGGACATTGACATATATAAAGCCTTTGCAATCAGACAACTTGCAACATGCAAACGTCAACATGACAAACTACTTGGATATGTAATTTCTTAACCGCGTCATCTCCCATGCTAAGATACGTCGGCGGCAGAGTGATGCCTTAGCACTGACGGAGGGTAGCGGCGTTAGGTTGATCGGGGAAGAGTTCGTACGGTTCTTGACGGCGGAGAGGAGGCGGTAGGCGTCGTCAATCTGAAGGTAAAATCTTTTGAAATTCTTTGTTTATTTTGGTTAGAAATGGAAGAGGAGGCATCAGATCAAAAGATGGTAATTTTTTCCCCTAAGTTTGGAGATGTTTTCTTTTGCGAAAACTGTTGAAGATCGTTTTTTTTTTTTTTAGTTCTTTTTGGTTGTGTCGGTTGGTACTCTGATCATGTTTTAGAATTTGCGGGGATAATTGTTCTTTTAAGTATATGATGGTAAAGACCGTAAGGTTTTTTCGATGATTTCAAAAGGTATTTTTGCGGAAAACACCCATTCTTGTGTTTAATTAGAAATGTGTCTCTTTTAGAATTTTAATTTACTCAATGTCAATTTTCTATTGTTAATGATTCTCCTTGTTTTGCAAGACATTGATATATATAGGCTTTGCAATCAGATAACATACAACATGCAAACGACAACATGGCAAACTACTTGGATATGTAATTTCTTAATAAAGATGGTAAATAACAGTGAAGATAATATTAAAGGCTAGACTTAAGAAGAGTTTTTGGAATTACCTGATGTAGTGAGATGAGGTAGTGAGAGCTATTTTTCTTGAGTGAATTATGAATGTAATTACATTATAGTGGGAACTTGGAGGGAGAAACATGAGTTTGGAGGGAGAATAGATGATTTTTGCACCCAGGTTGTATTTGAATTTCAAAAAATGGTAAAAGACATCTGAGCGGGAATAATTATTTTAATCTTTAATTTTAATTAAACTGCTCAAATTGTGTACCTGATATGTGACTATCACAGATAGAGGGATTTCCAGATTTTTTTGGTAAATATTGGGAAAAAAATTTAATACAATGGAATATAATATTACGGTTACTGTAGTGATTTTGGGTTCTGCCTTTATAAAACGTAATTGATGAGAGGCACGGGTGAACCAAAAACCCCTCTATATAAGGGCGCGTTTGGTTTCAATTTTTTGAGCTTGAAATCTGACACAGAATGGACATTTGTGTCAGCTTTCGGGGCTGAAAAAATGTGAACCAAACGCGTCCTAAATATAAACGATATAAAGATTTAAAAAAACTAATTTGTAGATTTTTCCTTAGGGTTTCTAAAACCCTAGGGCAAATCTAGGTAGTGACGGAAATCCTGGATCTAATCTTAGCAAAAACAATATGCAATTAGATTTAAACCCTAAACAGAATATCAAAGATGCGAGCAATCCTATTTCGCTCTTATACCAATGTGAATTATATTTGAACATATCGAATATTTAAATCTCTTGTTAAGAGATTACCTATACCGGATCTTCTGAAAGGATCTTCATGCATCTAATCTTTATTTTAAGCAACGGTCAGAAGGCGACCACACCGCTACGGCTAGAACCCCCACATATCACCCCGTGACTAACGCATAAATCATAGAATTAATGAGGAAAGAAATGACAATAGTATGCTTTTCTTTCTCTCTCTCTCTCTCTAATCTCTACATAAATGCATATATATAAAATAGAGAATAAAAGCCTCTGTTTTGAACCCACTTCGTATCCATCCACTCAATGAGTCGGACCCTACCAATTACTAACACAATCCCAAGCCATAATTATCCACGCTCTGCCTGAAAACTGACGTGCCGTCTCAACGAGAGATATAATCAAACGAAAAAACATAACACCCGCTAACAACAAACAACTACAGATGTCTAGCTGCTTATATTTCAGAGAGCATCACACATTCATCAGTTGTAGAAACATAGACACGATTCATCCAACTACAGATACCATACATCGAACACATACTAGTAAAGTATTGAAATCTCTTACTTTACATTTCGACGATAATCTTTCCTGTATCGAACACACATTAGTAAAGTATTGCAATCTCTTACTTTACATTTCGACGATAATCTTTCCTGTAGCATGACCATCCATGCTCCGACTCCAAGCCTCCTCTGCCGCACTCAGTGGGTACTTTGAATCTACTATCGTCTTCAGCTTCCCTTCCTTCACCAGCTCCACGAGAAACCCGAGGTCATCTTTACCAGGAGCTGCAAGCAATGGGACCACCTGCTTCTTCGCAAATGTCAGCTTCTTCACTACACAGCTCACGAAAGTCCATGGTGACGGCGTTAAGTCTATAACCTTCCCATTAGCACTAAGATTGGGCTCAAAAGTGGACCAAGGAATTCCAACAGTACAATGCACGACTGCGTCGTACTTCACCCCAGATGGGCTCTTCAGGCTTTCACCTTCAGGAGTTTTGTAGTCTAGCACCTCGTCAGCACCCAAACTCTTCACTAGATCGATGTTGCGAGCACCACAGGTTGCTGTCACGTGGAGCCCAGCTAGTTTGGCGAGCTGAACAGCATATGTTCCCACACCACCAGAGGCTGCAGTAACCAGAACGTTTGTGGCCTGGTTCTCGCCATCAAAATTGGCGCCCCCAGATTTTAGTGCCTTGAGAGCAGTGTAGGCAGCTATAGGCAGGGCATGATACTTCTGGCGGCCTACTGGCTGTCTGCTTCAATTGTGCCACAGCATACTCTGCTAGTCCACCGCCACTCTGTAGTCAGGAAAATAAAATACATGTATTTGTTTCAGGGAACTAATGTATAAAATACACACTGTCAGCATGGTGAATATAACTTAGATGCATATCATATTTGACCAATCAATTCCAAGCAACCAAGCGTAGATGTAAATCATATTTGATCAAACGGTTCCTACATTCAAGCACAGTTCAACCTTTGCTACACACATATCCAAATTCCTCACATATGCATTCTGAGAAATGCACTGTGAGAAACTACATTGTATGTGATGTGAGGGATTTTATTATATTTTTTTCCTTTATTTTTGAGGGAGGGATCTCCCAATTTACTCTGAAATACAGATTGCAGACATTAGATCAGACTTCACGCTGCCTAATAAGGTGGAAAATAGTGGTCCTCTTATATTAAATTTGAGAAATTCATTCCCAACAGAAAAGAGATATTCAAACCCAGAACCTCCTATAACATGTGACATCATAACGCCAGAGTTAGGTTCCTTCGGAACATTGATATAACTAACTATCATATTTAAAGATAAAATTAAATGATAGTCAAGGACATCCAATAAGTTAATAACGGTTGGGGACTGGGGACGAAAGGAGACGGTCTGCTGGAAGACAATAACAACAGCAATGGCACAGTTTATGGTTCCACGGGGTGTGAGGCAGACAAGGGTCAACCAGAATTCTAAGGTATGTTTCTATCTTACTCAAAGACACATTACACACAGAAAATTAAAGATTAATGAAAAAGGAGGAAAAAAGATGTGTTAGAGAGCCCTTGCGCCTTTTGGCATTTACTTTGCCTGGGTTCATCCCAAAAAATTCTGTTTAAACAGTACAGCTAACACAGAGCCATAAATGTCAAAATAAACATTATTCAAAAGACTTACAGGAGAAAAGGGAAAAAATTTGCTAACGCTGGTATTGGTAAGCCAGTTTCAGGAAACTAAAGTTTTATGAATGAACATGATGTTAGGTCTCATGTTTATGAGCCTACTATCTAATTTAGTTTTGATGATTAACAAACAAGTCCTAACAATGTTGCCAAGTGTTTGTATTTTCTTGTTATGTATTCTACACAAAGATCTTTGTTGGAGGTTGGATGGAATCCAGCTTACACGACGATATCTTGGAGGTTGGTGGAAATAGGAATGAAGTTGTCCATTCAAGTCCACACATCATCAAGCTTTATTCCCGCTACCAAGATCGAGCTTCAATGAGAGATCATTAGCTTGGGTATATTTTTAGTTTAGGAGTTTACTTTGTGTATTTATGCTTAAAGCTCATATCATACACATACACGTTATTTTAGATTGTTACATTATACGCTTCTTTGAGAAAATAACTCGCTCTTGGTTTATTGACTTTATGATACAATATTTTATAAAGTCTATAAATCTATTAAAAAGAATCTCAAAGTTTGTTTGAAAGAATTTCATCAAAAACCAAGTGTTTGACGATTTCGTATTATTGAACAAGTTTATAAAATAAATGAGTTTTCACAAATGGGAAATGCAATTTGAGAAATTCTTTTTCTAACATGTTCTATTATATGTTTATAAACATTCCTCAAAATTTTATCATTTTTAGAGTTGATTTACTATGTTAAATTGATTTTACAAAATCAAGTATTTCAACAGTTTTCAGAATCTGGAATATCTGTTTTAAAACAGTGATTTCTCACAAATCCGAAGTGATATTTCAGAAATTCTTTCTCTAACATGTTTATCTACACGTGTAGAAACTTTCTTCAAAATTTCATAATTTTTGGAATTGATTTGCTATTTGTAATTGATTTTAGAAAGTCAGCTACACAAAATTTCAGAATCTGTCAACTCAGCCTAACGATCACCTTATCGGTCGACCGATGACGTCATCAGTCGACCGATCGGCGATTTTCAGCCAACGGCTAGTTTTTTGGCAGCTGTGATTTTGGGGTTATATATACCCCTCTTGCCTTGGTTCTTTTTAAGGTTTTTAGAAGGTTTTTACAAATATTTAGGGCAGTTTATTTTCAAGTTTAAAAGATCAAAAGTTTGGTTTATTTAAGTGAAAAAGTTTTCACAAAGATAAGAAACTATTAATTTCGGTTTTGAGGAGTTCAACCTCAATTCTCATCTACATCTCTTTGTGCCATTTTAGAGAAGTTTTTCTAACTCTTTAATCTAGTTTATTCTCATTTTGATTATCATATATTTATTTGCTAGATTAAGTTGAGTTTAATTTTTAATATTCTCATTGTTTACACACCCCTTGAGATTTAGTACTTCACATGTTGTATACATTTGGGTTGTGGGGTTGTATCATTGAGTGAGCTTAAACTTTATTCTCATCCTTGTTTAGAGAACAAATCATTTACTTGTGCTTATTTGTTGAGAGAACACATTGTAATACATAAAGACACTTAGAGAAGTGGTTGGTGAGAGACGGGATCAGTTCCGAGAGGAGTGGTGTCAGTTGTAAATCCTAAGGAGATGATGTAATTTTGAGCACTTGAGGAAGGTGACACGGGCTAAGCCAACACTTAGAGAAGTGTATTGTGTATTGATAATTGTGTGAGTTGTAAGAGTTTTCGGTGAAATTGAAAAACCGATTATGTAGTTGATTTGTGATATAGTGGAGATTCTCCTCATGGGTGAGAAGCAGGAACGTAGGTCAAGGGTGACCGAATTCCATGATCATTTACTTGTGTTTGAGTTTGGCATTGGCGTATTTATATTGTCTCATTGTTTATAATGTCTATTGCTTCATATTTGTTTAATCTTGCATATATCTCCTTGTATATCACATTTGCTAGGATATATTGTTAATAAGTTTTAATTTAGCATTTATATCAGATTAGATTAGTAAATATCATATTCTCCCCTTCCTTAGGATAATTTCATTTGGTATCAGAGCTTTGTGCTCTTGATTTGTAGCTTAATTGCCAAGAGTCAGAAGATCCAAGCTTTTATATATTGCTAATCTAGTTTTGTGATTTATTGTTGCTTGTATTCATAGTTATGGGTATGCATAGTGCACCTAGTTTAGGCTATGACATAAATATTGCTCCTAAATTCAATGATTTCCCGTATGCTCAATGGATGGTTAGATTTAAAATATTTGTTAGATCTAAACATATTGATTTATGAAAAATAATTGAATGTGCTTATATTGTGCCCACTTTGGAGAAATCCAAGTGGAGCAATAATGATAAAAGAATGTTTATAATGTACAAGTTATTGTTAGATTTTTTGCTTAAAACTTTTGAATCATCTATATCTAACAAACTTGTTCATTTTGATAGTGCCTATACGTTATGGAAATATATAGAGGCATATCAAGGAAACTTAGAGGATATCCGACGTGTTTTGGCTGATTCCACTTCAAGTGAGAGTGGAGCTTCATCATCTACACGATCACTAGGCGATAGCCCTAATGAGGTATGCGAATCTGAATCCGATAGTGAATTATCTATAGTTAAACTTGCATGTGCATATGAGAAATTAATGAAAGCCTACAATAAATTGCATCATTATTTTGTAAATTTAAAAAGCAAGCATGTAGAGCTAAAATCTGATCATGATATGCTAGCATTCAAATTTAATATCATTGTAAAAGAAAATGTGACACTTAAAAAAATAATGATAAATTGAATTTGAAAAATAAAAATTTAACATCATCAATAGCTAGCTTAACTCATGAAAAGAATGATGTCATAAAAGAAGTAGAAATAATTAGAAATAAATTTAATTCATTTAAAAATAATCATGTTTGTTCTACTTCTATCATTAATGCTAGTATGCCTAATAACGAGTTGAATGAAGTAAAAAATCAAATTTCTTCTTTAGATTCAACTTTATCAACATGCATTGACAATCATAAGAAGCTTGTGAATATGTGTGTTACGTCAAGTGCAAATAAGTCAAAATCATCCACTCACTATGCATACATATATAGCAAAGTTTACAAGTGCTCTATTGCGATCGTAAAGACCATTTAGCTAAATTTTACTATGATGCATAAAAACCGACAAATGCTAATATCATTGCTCCATGTGCATCTCATCTAGTTTCTTCATCTCTCACACACACATGCACCAAATAATCATCATAAATATGTTAATGTGTATAGGTGTGATTATTGTGGTAGATTTAGTCATTTGGCCAAATATTATTTTGATTTGAAAAAGGTTTTATATTTGTAAAATAATTTAAAAAGATCACCATTGTTTGCAAATGTTTCTCGTACACATTCATATGGTCATCATAAATAAATGCATCATTTTCATTGCACCTATTGCAATAGGAAGGATCATTTGAGTAATTATTGCTATGACCGAATACATACGCCCAAATGGGGTCATAATCCAAGGACTTTGGATTTCATTGATAGGTGTCATGTCCCTAAACTCTTCGGTACCAAGAGTATTTGGGTACCAAAACATATTTGATTTTTAAAGAATAACTTTTTAGCATTTTTATTTTTCATGCTTCTAAAAGATAATTTTTGTTTTGTACATGTATTGTTTCATATTTTATGTTATTGGATTATAGACTAAACAATACTATTTACATCGTTTCCAAATTCTACTAATCTATTAAAAAGGATTTTAAAATTTGGTTAAAATCATTTTGTCAAAATCAAGTGTTTTAAACAAACTCGTATTTTTGAGATTTTGCAAAATGATAAGTTTTCACAAACAAGAAATGATATTTAAAAATTTTCTTTTCTAACATGCTTATTTTCATTAGAATAATCATTTTCCCAAATTTTATAATTTTTGAAATTTATTTGTCATTTTTAAAAGCCCTTTGAAATTCAGATTTACTGTTCAAAACTAGGTTGTGCATGTTTATTAGTCGACTGACATTGTTCATCAGTCGACCAATGAACTGCTCTCTAGTTGCTGAAAGTTTCTACTCAGTCGACTGATCCTCATCAGTCGACCGAAGCAGCTCTTCAGTCGACCGATAGTTGCATTAGTCGACCGATGAGCTTTAAGCGGCAGCCAATGGTCAACTCATCAGTCAACTGAACAGTACATCAGTCGACCGACGGCACTGTAACGACTATTTTTTAGTTTTTGCTGATTTTAAGGGATTTTTGTCTGGTTTTTGTTTTTCTTGACTTTTGGGCTGTTGTCTTATGAATCTATAAATAGCCCACAGGTTTCATTTTACTGATTAAAAAACCCAAGAAAAGTTTAAAACAAAGTTTGCAAGTTTGTTTAAATGCTTTACGGATCAAGTATGTTTTTTATGTTCTTGTGCTTTTAAAATTCTTAATCAATCATGATTTATGTTTGTATGTTATGAATTTTTGACTTTCATTTGATTTTTGGATTTTCATAGTTTTCATGATTTGTTTTCTTTTGAAAATATCTTTCCATGATTTTTATAATTTATTTTTCATTTGAAAATATTCTCTCATAATTTACTTTCAAGAAATATCTTTTCTTGACGTGCGTTCATTGTCCCCTTACATATAAGCACATGATTTTCTTTTGTGGATTTTCTTTCATAATTTTTTTTAAATGACACCTTTTTTACCATCATTTTGTTACTATTGGGGCAAGAATGACTGCCTATTTTATATATATATATTTTTATATCTATGTATTGAGACACAATTTTTTTTGATATATATATGTGTTCTTTAGTCTTCTTAAATGTGAGTTGTAAATTAGCATGCTTTTTATATATCTATTTTCTCACATTTGGTTGCCTTTTTTTTTGCTAAGGCATTTTGATAGGGGAGTCTTCCCTATCTCTTTCTATGTTTATACTCACCGTGCCTTTTTTGATAGGGGGAGCATTTGCTCTCTTCTTCCTTATTGTTTTCTCCATTTTGATGTTGACAAAGGGGGAGAAACATGAATATTGTGAGTATATCTTACTTATTGCTTTCTATTATTTTTATGCATGATGAATATAAATTGTATATTCATTTAGTATTATGCATATTTTATATCTCTTTGTGTAGATTGTTTGTCATTATCAATAAACAAAGATTGTTAGGTCTCATGGTTATGAGCCTACTATCTAATTTAGATTAGATGATTAACAAACAATTCCTAACAATATTATCAAGTATTTGTATTTGCTTGTTATTAGGTATTCTACACAAAAATCTTTGTTGGATGGAATCCAGCTTACACGACGATATCTTAGAGGTTGGTGGAAATAGGAATGAAGCTGTGCATTCAAGTTAACACATCATCAAGCTTTATTCCCGCTACCAAGATCAAGCTTCAACGAGAGATCATTAGCTTGGGTATATTTTTAGTTTAGGAGTTTAGTTTGTGTGTTTATGCTTAAAGCTCATATCCTACACATACACGGTATTTTAGTTTGTTACATTATACGCTTCTTTGAGAAAATAACTCCCTCTTAGTTTATTGACTTTATGATACAATATTTTATAAAGTCTATAAATCCATTAAAAAAATCTCAAAGTTTGTTTGAAAGAATTTCACCAAAAACCAAGTGACGATTTCGTATTATTGAACAAGTTTATAAAATAAATGAGTTTTCACAAATGGGAAATGCAATTTGAGAAATTTTTTTCTAATATGTTCTATTACATGTTTATAAACATTCCTCAAAATTTTATCATTTTTAGAGTTGATTTACTATGTTAAATTGATTTTACAAAATCAAATGTTTCAACAGTTTCAGAATCTGGAATATCTGTTTTAAAACAGTGATTTCTCACAAATCTGAAGTGATATTTCAGAAATTCTTTCTCTAACATGTTTATCTACATGTGTAGAGACTTTTCTCAAAATTTCATGATTTTTGGAATTGATTTGCTATTTTTAATTGATTTTAGAAAGTTAGCTACGCAAAATTTTAGAATCTGCCAACTCAGCCAACCGATCACCTTATCGGTTGACCGATGACGTCATCAATCGACTGATCGGCGTTTTTTTAGCCAACGGCTAGTTTTTTGGCAACTGTGATTTTAGGGTTATATATACCCCTCTTGCCTTGTTCTTTTTAAGGGTTTTAGAAGGTTTTTACAAGTGTTTTGGGCAGTTTATTTTTAAGTTTAAAAGATCAATAGTTTAGTTTGTTTACGTGAAGAAGTTTTCATAAAGAGAAAAAGCTTTTAATTTCGGTTTTGAGGAGTTCAATCTCAATTCTCATCTACATCTCATTGTGCCATTTTAGAGAAGCTTTTCTAACTCTTTAATCTAGTTTATTCTCATTTTGATTATCATATATTTATTTGCTAGATTAAGTTGAGTTTAATTTTTAATATTCTCATTGTTTACACACACACCCCTTGAGCTTTAGTACTTCACATATTGTTACATTTGGGTTGTGGGGTTGTATCATTGAGTGAGCTTAAACTTCATTCTCATCCTTGTTTAGAGAACAAATCATTTACTTGTGCTTATTTGTTGAGAGAACACATTGTAATACATAAAGACACTTAGAGAAGTGGTTGGTGAGAGACGGGGTCAGTTCCGAGAGGAGTGGTGTCAGTTGTAAATCCTAAGGAGATGATGTAATTTCAAGCACTTGAGGAAGGTGGCACGGGCTAGGCCAACACTTAGAGGAGTGTATTGTGTATTGATAATTGTGTGAGTTGTAAAAGTTTTTGGTGAACTTAGAAAACCGATTGTGTAGTTGATTTGTGATATAGTAGAGATTCTCCTCGAGGGTGAGGAGCGGAGACGTAGGTCAAGGGTGACCGAACTCTATGATCATTTGCTTGTGTTTGAGTTTGGCATTTGCGTATTTATATTGTCTCATTGTTTATATCGCCTATTGCTTCATATTTGTTTAATCTTGAATATATCACATTTGCTAGGATATATTGTTAATAAGTTTTAATTTGGCATTAATATCGGATTAGATTAGCAAATACCCTATTCACCACTCCTCCCTCTAGGGTAATTTCACATGAAAAATGAATAATCTGCGAGTTCCAAAGGACAGTTCCAAAGGACACAGTATCTCGACCGGAAGAAGGTGGTTTTCCACAGTTTACATGAAAAGAATTAGAGATTAAAAATTATGATAAAGTGATCAACAATTTATCTCTTACCATAAAATTAAGCATGAACTTTGATTAACATTTTACTCACCATAAAGTTAAGCATAGAGACAACTTTGTCACCCGCTTTGAAGGTCGGCACACCAGGACCGACCTCAACCACCTCTCCTGCGACATTGGTCACTGTCCTCCAAACAGGAATATTCAGGTAAGTGTCCAAATGATGCTCATCATAAAGTTTCAGACAAAATTAACATTTTACTTCTTACAAAGTAATAGAAAGGAAAGGTTCTACAAAATAATTGGAAGTTACAGATACGAGTTGCACTTCAATTGAGAAAATATTCAATATTTTCATAAGAACTTGGACTACTAAAACAAGTAAGACAAAAATTCATAGCTAATTACAGTTTTTAATGCTAAGCAAGAAACAAGTTTCCAAGAAATTCTAATTTCTGCTATTTAATATTGTATTAAATAAAGGAGAGAGAACTGTGAGAAACTTAATCTAGACTACAGACATTAGGATCATTATAGTTCTAGATCACAGAAGGCTGAATTATTCAACTGAGTTACTCCACTGAAACAAGTGCACCACTATTTCAACACCATTCCCCGTGTATAAAGGATGGAATAAGAAGATCAGAAAAGAAACATACTTGATGTATATCTGGCAACACATTACCTGGAACAAATGGAAATTTCGAAGGCATAAATGGTCGCATAATTCCTTTCTGAATTTTCCAATCAACTGGATTTATACTTGCTGCTTCCAATTTTAGCAGCACCTCATCTTTCTTTGGAGAAGGAACTGGAATCTGAACATGCTGCATTGGGCAACTTTAACCTATAAGCATTTACTTTGCCTAGCCATATACATGGTGTCATGGACAGAAAAGAGTATAAACTATCACGACCATCAACTACTTCAAATTTAAAGCAAAGATATGCACCAATAAACATGATAATTAATAAATAAGCAGAAATAGATGTCTAGACTCACAGCAACTTAAGGTAGGAAATATCTGCATAATTGAATCCATGGTGATGAAGGATAATTGAAAATTGGGGTTTAAAATACTAAAAAATGCTACCGCAGGCACTTCTAGAGAAACGTATGAAATCACAGAGCAGTTACTAAAACAACAAACTATAAGAAAAAGCTAAGAAATGATTTTCTTAATAAGGTCCTCCATACACAATCAATTCTCATCAATTTATGTCAGGCAGAAGGAATTGGAGTATGATTATATATCGCAAAGAAGGTTCCTAAAACAGAAGCTACCAGATTGCGTATTTTTCCGCATTTAATTTAAGGGTGTGTTTGGTTAGAGGTAGTTGGAACTCCATGTTGTTCTAACAACATCTAAATTCCAAAAGTATTGTTTGGTTAGATGTTGTTGCAACAACCAAATAAGCCAGAAATAGAGGTGTTGGAACGACACTCAAATATAAGAGTGTGCAACACCATGCGCTGGAACACCATCAACATTTGTTGTTCAAACTCCTCCAAACCAAACATACCCTAAGCGATGGCTCCAACAAAATTTTCCAGCGTCAAACAACTTCACTCCAGTTTGTTTGCATGTCTCATGTAACTGGAATTCCCTGAATTTCATTTCCAAGATATGGCTGCCATTTGGTTTCTCATAAATGTAAAATCCGAAGTATGGATTTTTGTCGGAGGGTCAGAATGCCCCCTCAAAGTTTACTGAACTGAAAACAAACATGTAATTTTGCTTTTGTAATGGCAAGATAATCGTACCTAAATCTACAACTAAAGAAGCAGCACATAACAGTAAAGAATTAGGGCAATAGACTTATTTTCAATTTCACGAATCCTAAATCCAACACAGATTTGAAATTCCTTAGTTGTTCCTATCTGAAATCTCTCTCAGGTCCTAGATCAGCTTGAAACTCCAGAGACCATTTCTACTGGCATTTCTATGACCTCACAGGACGTGAGCTAAAGGATCATAGACAATCACTTAATAAATATCAAAGCATTCCAAAAGCTATGCTCCTCCTACATGACTAATATACTGGTTTCCAACGTTCTGCAATTCATAAAAACTTCAATTCTGATAATCACTAGAGGTTTCGTTTCATACTAATAACCATGATACTAGAAATCAACATAAATTCCAGGCATGAAACCAACTCAAATGCTCCACGTTCTGAAAGCGAAACTGCAGTACTCCAGGCGCCTGTCATACACTTATAAGGATAATATTCTCCAGAACAATTTCCTATGTTCTTATACATCACATTATCTCCGGACAACTTCCTTTCTAAATACGAACAATATGATACGTGCTGTGTTAAAATAAGAGGACTACTTGAGGAGAAGAAATGTTGTGGCAACGATATAGGAACACTCTATAATCTCTGCTACGAACTTACAGATACTTCAAGAGCAGTTGCCTAAAATATTATACATCAATTTATAATCTTTGAACAAGATCCAATTTGTGTTAAAATAAATAGACAACTTGAGGAAAAGAGTAACGACGCAACGATATAGGGAACTAGTAAACATGCCTTGTTTAGGGTCTCAATCGTGCATAACTACAACCGCACATTGACCATGAACTCCATGTCATTCTATCACCTCAGCTACAAAAGAAATAATGTCCAGCCAAACTACATACTCAAGTCAAATTTAGTGCAAATGATCGCTAACAGATTTTCTCTTCTCTTGGAACAAGGAAAGAAAAAAAAAACAATAACTACCCATTAAATCTAGCGACCCCTTTTTACAACTAATACTTTGAATCAGATCCTAAGAATTACAAGTTGGTCTTAAGCTAACATCAAAGAAGAACTAAAGTGCAAGGTATTAAAGTGTATTCATGATAATTAATTGGATTTGTGCAATAACTGACTATGATAATTTAAAAATAAACTAATTAAAAATAAAATCGAAGAGAAATCAAATAAGAGATTGGGTCATCGGCGTTTTCCCTGAAATCTGTATGGATACCTTGAGGGCGGCAGCACCGCCGCCGTAGCCGTCGTAGCAAACGGCAAGCATGGATTTCCCGGCCATGGACCGCCGCCGTAGCCGTCGTAGCAAACGGCAAGCATGGATTTCCCGGCCATGGACAAAGAGGTTATTAGAGTAAAATTGAATATTGTGAGGAACTTTTATGGAAATTTAGCGAACGCCTCAGGAGGATACAGTACACAGGAGCGGCGTTGCTTGGGGAACAAGAGTCCGAATTACGAAACTACCCCTGCTTCGCACTGCTATTTTAAGTTTTTATCATAGAGGCCACACCACCAACCACACCCCCCTCTCCCATCGCTACAGTAAACCGGGCCCCACATGGGATTTTAAAAACTTTAAAATCCCATGTGAGGTCCGGTTTACTGTAGCGATGGGAGAGGGGGGTGTTGTTGGTGGTGTGTTAGGGGGTATGCCCCTAACATTATTTTTTATCATATTAGACTTTTTTATTTCTACTAGGTTTTATGCACGTGTAATGTATATAGTTATGTACTATGATTAAGTATTTTTAATTTATTTCTTTACTAAAATGTGTTCATCAGTTCTACTTTGATTGTTTTTGCTAACTTATGTCTTTAAACTTTAGTATTATGATTATTTACTTTCTTTAATGTTTGTTTTAATGGGCTACACCAAATTTAAAATTTTCACGTTAATAATTAAATTGATAAGAAATAAATATAATCTAAAGCTAATTTGAATTTGCACGTTATTTGGATCGACATGAAGCCAAGCTTAATTTGAGAAGATATAATATTGTAAAAGTGAAAATCACTTGAAAAAATAGAGTTGTAAAAAAAGATGAATAATTAAAACCAATAAGCCAAGATGATTAATTAAAAGTGGGCTAGAATGAAACTAAAGAGAATATAAATTTTGTTGTTAATCATTGACAGACTTAAAAAATCATAAAATAAAGATTAATGCTAACTTTAGTACACTTTTACATGATAAAAGCATCCATATATCCATATAAAAATATTAAAAGAGTTCATGAAAATTCCTTTTAAAAATTCCTGATTTTACGCAAAAAATTAAACTATTATATAAAATATTCAATAATTTAAATTTGTGTTGTATTTATAAATAGTCTTGATGGAGATGTTTTTGGTTTAGCAGCTTGTTCTGAATGAGCCCTGCATATTAGCTTTAAAGTGTAATATTTTTTTACCGTGTTATATGGATGGTTGCTTGGTTTACTTATCATTCTCTTATTTCTTTAATAAGTTGTATCTTTGAATTGATATATATTATTAACAAAATTTACGATGACATGCGTATCTTTCCTACAAATTTGAGATTGATAAAATATGAATTTTATGTTTAGCGGCCTTTAATAAGAATTTTAGTTGTAAAATATGTTACCTTCATATTTAAAGCTCTTGAAATCGAACAATACTATTACATGCTTATCTTTTATCGTGTCCTTAAAATTTTATCCTTCGTTGGTAGTCATATCCCTAAATAAGGTTACTTGCAGAGTCATGCCACTATATAGAAAAAGAAAAATATTGATTTTAATTTTTTTACTTACATATGGTAACTAAGTATCATGTGTATATTTTTTGTCCATTATAGTGATTTTCCTCATCTTATCTAGCTTATTATATCTCGCAATATAGTTGATCAATGACTTCACTTTAGTTTCTATTGCAAGATTATTTATACGTAATTTTATATTAAGTTTATGATTCCTCTACTATTTCAAGAATAAAGTATGAAAATTTATAAGTACTTACTAATTTTTCTTGTATCTTTCATGAAGAATGTTTTTTAAATTAAGATAAAATTATTCAATATGTTCTTCAAGGGGAACTCAGTCAGTGCTTCTTTGCCAGATATGCCTTTTATCAATGTCAATTCAGGTGATTTATGAATGTTTCTAAATTTTGAGTTTATTTCCTTCACTTCTCTATATGAAATGAAAACAACTTAGTTCTTTTAAATGATATTTCTGAAGCGGAGTGAGGCTGGAGCGGTGGGCGGTGGCTGACTTGGAGAGATGAGGAGGAGGTGGAGCTGGGCAAGGCAAACGACGGAGGAGAGGAGTGTTGCGCGCGGCGGAAATTTCGGCAGCACCTCTGGTGCGCAAGGTGCACAACAAGAGATTAGATCGAAAGAATTCCTGTCTCACTAAGGAAACAAGAATCTGAAGCGGATATCTCAACAAAGTGAGATATCGGCTCTTCCTCTCATTAATTCTAGGACTGACCTGTCGAGGGATCCTACAAGCTATTACAAATCACAGCAAGAACACAAATTTTACGTGGTTCGGCAAATAGCCTACGTCCACGGGGCAAGGAGGGGGGGAGATCTACTATTAGAGGGAGAGATACAATAAGAGTTTACAATCTCACAACCTAAACCCTCTCACAAACTCTCAAATCCCTCACACAAATTTCTCTCTACAAAAGGAAACAATCTGCAGCAAAAAACCAATTTGATCTGGTATTTTTCTCCTCTGCCGAAAAGAATCCCCAGCCAACAAAATATTCAAAACCTCTTTCACGTTTTGCTCCTGCAGCCGCAAAGTTCCCGCAGCCTTGCTCTAACCTCCTGCAGCCGCAAAATATCCAAGACAAAAGCTCCTTGCACAAAACCCTAGAATGATTAATAGGGTTTATATATATCACTTTGAGAGGCTCGGGTGGGCCAGGTCATAATCCATGGGTCTTCTCGTGATCACCTCACGCGGATGCGGTTTTCCTTTGCTTCATTCACATGGTGGTAGGCCCCCCCACCTTCATAATTCTCCACCTCGGTGAAGTTTTCCCAAAACTGAGCCGACACCAACCAAACCAAATGTCTCACTTGTTGAGTCCAGTACGCCATGGCAACGGACTCATGACAACGGACTCCATCCACAACAGGTCGAGACCCAAACGGGAGTGCGAACACTCACCCAAAACAACAGTGTCTACTCACCAAATCGATCTCACCCCCATCAAAATCCAAACCCGGCTGCATCGTAAAGACTGCCTACGTATCCTCTTGTCCAAGGAATCAAGCCTTCACGTAGTTCACCCAAATGGCCGCTAACGACCTCAATCCAATAGAAGAGTTCCCAACCCTTCTCCAATATCACGATCAAGTCTACGGCTGATAGCACTTCCAATGGCCCCAAGCTGAAACAATCCAAACATCTCCACCTGAGATGAACCAATGGCCATATCCAGACTACATCTATCAGCTACACTCGAAACAATCAACCTATCATCTGCATCCAAATCAACACGATTCCCAATCTGTGTCACATCAGCTGGAATCCCAAATGATGCAGTATGATCTGGAGTTTCTACCCAACGTGGAGTAGCATCACTCTCCACCTGCTGCGATGTCCCAAATATCTGATCACCATTCTTCACCTGCCGAGAGTCAAACGTGACATATCTGCTCAGAACAAAGTCAGAAGCCAATACCTGATAATCAAACACGCCTCTGAATCCTAAATATGTTATCGGATCAAATATCACATCCACGATGTGACCAAGTGCTGGGTAGCCAAACATCCGACGCAACCCAAAATCTGAAGCAGCTCCACCAGATCCAAAATCTCTACATGCAGCAGTCGGCAACCCATACATAAGATAGCCCAAACATGTCGTAGCCCACGCACCAATGCCAATGCTCGACATCAAACGCTGATCCTCCTCCAGAAAGGAACAGCTCCCCAAATCTGCCATCTCATCACGTCGCCTCAAAGTTTCCACACCAATGAAGTGTCTCCTATTGCCGTGAGCTCGGCACAATCGTAAGAAAGAACCCCTACCATAACCAGAACGTCGGGTTATCTTTCTACCAATACACTTCCTCTATCTGTTGCGGGCTTCTAGGACTTCACACCAACGGGACTTAGTTGCAACCTACCAATGCCTAGAGCAATCCCCCAACTGTGGAAACCACATACCTATTACCTCCCAATGATGCTCTCTTGGAAGGCACCCGAATGCCTGAATGAACACCCCTCAGAAGACCCCTCGAATGATGGATAAAAGTATCAAACTTCACCTCGGTCTTCTTGCTCATACCAATGGGTTCACAGGACTTCAAACTGTGGGTCATAGCACTCCTCAACAACCTATGCACGACATTACCAATTAAATAACCCAGCATCAAACAACGCCATAGTCTAGCCGAATCTGATGAAGTCGTCATCTCCTTATCAATCGCCGTGCTTCCGAGCAAATAATACAAATTGCTTCTTCTGACGCCCTTCATCACAATCATGGACCCCAATGTGACCTTCAAACGTGCATCCACCAAGATCACTTTCTAGCCAGATGCCACCAAAGCTCCTAGTGAAATGATGTTCTTCGACAACTGCGGAACGAACCTCACTTCATCCAACTCCCGCACCATCCCGTCACTCATCTTAATCCGAACGGTACCAATACCACCAATAGAGCATGCATGTCCATTACCCATGAGCACAACATCCTCTCTTTCCAACTTCTGAAAGCTGGAGAACCAATCCCTCCTAGGGCAAACGTGGTATGAAGCACCCGAATCCAACATCCACTCTGTAGAGTTGGCAACACAAACTGACGGTAGTGCAGACAACGAATAGCCCGAAGAATCCGAATCTGAATTGTTACCACTAATCTTGACAACATTCACCTCTGAAGCTTGTACATCTTTCCCCTTATTCTTCTCGGCTCGATCTAACTTTGGGCATTCAGCTTTCCAATATCCATCCTCTTTACAAAAGGCACACTGATTCCTATGAATCCCACGATGTGCACCTCTAGACTGCGACCTCCTGCTTCGGTTTGAACCACGGCCATGAACTACTAATGCATCTCCCGATGCCTTCTCGGAGGACTCATCAACACTCTTCCTCAACTCATAATTTACCAACGCTGAGGTTATCTCCTTGTAACTAACAGTAGTTCTTCCATTAATCATAGTTACGACAAAAGTACCATAATCATCCTCGAGCAACGAACACAAAAGTAGCATCGCCTTGTCTTCATCCTCAACCATAATATCCACATTGGCCATGTCTGAAAGTAGCTTTGTGAAGTTGTTAACATGCTCCC